CATACTGCATATGCTTGCAGATAGCATAGCATAGCATAGCATAGCGTAGCGTAGCGCAGCATAGCATAGCATAGCATAGCATAGCATAGCATAGCATAGCATAGCATAGCATAGCATAGCAAGCATAGCAAGCATAGCATAGCATATGCTTGCAGATCGCATATGGCATATGCTTGCAGATCGCATATGCTTGCAGATCGCATATGGCATATGCTTGCAGATCGCATATGCTTGCAGATCGCATATGGCATATGCTTGCAGATCGCATATGGCATATGCTTGCAGATCGCATATGGCATATGCTTGCAGATTGCATATGGCATATGCTTGCAGGTTGCATATGCTTGCAGATCGCATATGCTTGCAGATCGCATATACTTGCAGATCGCATATGCTTGCATATGAGATCGCATATGCTTGCAGGTCTCATAAGCTTGCATATGAGATCGCATATATATAACATTAAAACATATTGCACCTTGCATATTGCATATTGCATATTACATATCGCATATGCTTGCAGATCGCATATGCTTGCAGAGCGCATATGCTTGCACATCGCATATGCTTGCAGATCGCATATGCTTGCAGGTCACATATGCTTGCAGATCGCATACGCTTGCACATCCCATATGCTTGAAGATCGCATATGCATAGCATAGCATAGCATAGCATAGCTTTGGCGCAGCATAGCATAGCATAGCATAGCATACCATAGCGTAGCATAGCATAGCATATATGCATATATAAAACATAAAAACTTTGCATATGCATATGCAAAATATATTTTGCATATGCATATGCAAAATATATGCACATATGCATATGCAAAATATATGCACATATATGCATTGAATTGCATATGCATATGCATACGTGCAATATATAAAACAAAAAAACATAAACGCGCTGGGGGTCGAACCGGCGACCTTCCGTTCTTTTCGGCGCGGTCTTTAGCATGTACGGCACGCTCCCGAGCCGGAATTTCCAAAACGCCCCGGACAGACAACCGGACAGCAGACTAGACGCGGGCTGGGTCGCCCGCGAGGGGGCCGTAGTCCCCCGGCTGGGCGGCACGAGTCCGACGTAGTGTGGCTTAGTATGTTTGAGTAATGCGCTGACACATATAGACGCGGTGCAGTCCATGCGGTGCAGTGCGGTGCGCCGAAGGAAGGAGG